TATATATATCTATATATATGTTCAAATTTCGCGGGCTTTGTACATTTAATTAGCGATTTTTTCATGTTGGTATACCCGTCTGGAACATATGTTCACAGTTTCAGCTGTTTAGCATGTTTACTTTGTTGGTGAGAGCCATAAAAGTTAGAAGTGTTTTGCTTGTTCGGCGATTTTGTGCTGTCGAAAAAATTGATGAAAGGATTTTGTGTAAAAAATGAAATTGAGTGCTTAAAAACACTTGAAATGTTAACCGTGGCATACAGTACTTATACTCTGAGTCGAAAAATGTTTACGGGTGTTACACTCTTTTGGGACATGTCGAAGGAGGAATTGTGGTAAAACTTGGGGTTTAATCCATTGGATTTATGTGATGATCGTCAGACCAATGATTACTTATGGTGCAATTGCCTGGTGGCCAAAGGCTTTACAGAAAATGGCCCAGGCGAAGCTCTCTGGCTTACAGAGACAGGCTTGTCTGGCCATCAGTGGTACCATCAGTACCACACCGTGAGCGGCCATGGCGATCCTTCTAGATCTACCTCCTCTCCACATTTTTTTGCAGAGAGAGGCTAGATGGACTGCATATAGACTTATGCACATTTCCAATTGCACAAATCAATTCAATGCAGAGTGCAACAGACTGCTGGTTGACACTGGAAATGACATCTGACTTTATGCACTCAACTGTCAACTACGAACTGCCTTATAAAGTACCTTTCCCGAGTAGAGAAGACTGGATCCTCCAGGAGAAGGAAATATTAAGAGCAGATAGTTGTTGGTTCACAGATGGATCAAAAACTCCTACCTACCAGTTCTGGTGCAGGTGTTTTCAGTCGCAGACCCAGGACAAAGATATCACCCCACCCTGCCTAGGAACGTATGCGACTGTATTTCAAGCGGAAATTTACGCTATTGAATTGTGTGTGTGAAGGCCGGGACACACTTCTTCATACACCTCTCCGATCCGACTCCGGTTTAATTTTGCCCCAAAAGCGGATCGGTGCACTCTGTTTGGAAGAAGAAGCTGAAGAAAATCGGAGAGCTCTCATAGAGAACAGCGGTACAGGTCTTCAGTCTGGTCATACAAATCTGGATATTTTCTGACTTGTTCAATAAGCTCCTCCGGTTTTAATGGGTTTTTGTAAATTTGATTTGAAGAAATAAAAAAACTCAAATATCATACAAACTCTAAGCGATACGCGTCCCGCAGCTGGAGAACAAATAGGATGTACTATCGGATCATGATCAAATACAGGATCGGAGTCGGGTGGGAGCGGGGTTGGCCACGTATCGGAACGATGTGAACTACTCTATTCGGACTAAAGTACCATTTCCCTCTCAGACACTCGTCCGACTGCATGATGGGAGTCGGATCTGAAGGGTGTATGACAGGTGTGCCCCGGTCATAAATTGGTAGCAAATTGCCAAAAACGACTCTCCCCGATAGAAAGACCTAACAGATTGTCTCTGGTCTGGATTCCGGGCCATACTGATCTGGAAGGTAATGAGGCTGTTGACTCTCTTGCAAAGGGGGGTTCTGCAAGAAACTTCATCGGACCAGAACCTATCATTGGCATCGTTTTAGGCTTTGCCAAACAAACATTGAACATCTGGATGGTAAGAATATTTATGGACTTCTGGCAGAATCTTTCAGGAATGGCACAATCTAAGGTGTTTATTCTCCCTTCGAAGCTCGATACCAAACAGTTGTTGGACTACAGTAGGGATGAACTACGATGTCTAACAGACCTTCTTACAGGTCACTGTCATTTGAATCATCAAATTACTTTTAAAATTAACATTTATCATTGTTATGAATTAGTTCATTTGAAATTATTTAATTTCAACCCAGTAAACCACACGCTTTATTATAAAGCCATACATGAATAAAAATCTAGTAGGTGGTAGAAAAACTGGCCTCATTTCCATAATCATTAATAATAAATCAGATTTCCTGTAGGAACTATTTGAACAGAATACATTTTCACCTGAAATGATTTATTTTATAAATATATACTATCCCTCGGATTATCAAATAAAGCAACCGCCTCTGTTTTATGGTCCAGAAACAAACAAAGTTATGCTGCCTTCAATTTAAGGATGGAAAAAGCATATCTATTGTCTTTTGTTACTCTGAGACAGAAATACTAATTGTTTCGTGCATGTGCACAGAAAATTTATATCCCAAAAAATGCTCTTTTTCGCCTCCTGGGTACTCTTTGGCAGAAACTGTTCGAAACTAGTGTACCAACATAAAAAATGAAAAATCGCTAATCGAATGTTCGTAGCCCGCGAAATTTGAACATTCACCTTATTTTTTGAACAGGCTACGTATACCTTATGGACGTCTTTGTTACCGTGTACTATTTTGTAAACGAAATTTTATATTGTTCAACGAGATGAATGATTATTATAATAATATAAGTTTATTCGTGAATAAATACAATAATATTTTAGAACATACCTATATCTTATTATGAATAAACTAAGATGTGAACCTTATGAAGGAACTTATAAGGTTAACTCAAAAATAAAAATATTTTTAATGAAAAT